CCCGGCCCCGGCCCCCACCCCGGCCCCCTGCCCGCTCACCGTCCTCCTCGCGGTCCCCAGCCGTCCTCCTCAGGCAGGTCTCCAGCCACCGCAGGGGCCTGGCCAGGCCTGGGGACAGGGGAGGGTGAGACAGGACACGGCCCCGGAGCCAAGCCCGACCGGGGGCTCAGAGCCCCTTGCCCACCTTCCCGATACAGACGATGCGCCAGGCCCTGCCCTGCCCCTTCCTCGGGCGCCCAGTGCTCCTCCGTGGGGTCTTCCTCTGCTTCATCCTCCTCCTCCTCCTCCTCCTCACTGTCCCCATCCTCTGCCGAGCTGTCCTGGGCTGGCACTGCTGGGGCGCCTGCCGCACCCTGCGGGGACCAGCAGTGTGTAGGTGCCTGTGATGGGGCAGCACCCCCTGGGCACAGCCCGGGCCCACCCTGGCCCCCCGTACCGGCCCCCCGTACCGGCCCAGGGCTGTGGCCCTTCCTCCGGCGCTTCTTGTACAGCTCCTTGCGCTCCGACACCAGCCCCAGCCCCAGCAGCTTCTCCACCACGCGAGCCCGCGACCGCCGCGCCGTCAGGTGCTTCATGATGTTCCCCAGGACGTCTATGGGGAGGGGGGTCAGGGCAGGGGGCTACGGGGGGCTGCCCCCCGCAACCCGCCCCAGCCCCACTCACCTTCTGAGCCCTGGAACTCCTCAAAGAGCCGCGCCAGCTCCTCCTCCTGCTCCTGCGTCCACAGCACAAGGCGGGTGCCCTTCCTGGGGGGGGGGACACGGCCATTGGTCCCTGCCCTGGGCGAGGCGGCCAGCCCGGGGGTCCCCACAGAGGTCCCCGACCCACCTCTCCTGCGGGAAGTCCTTGGCACTGCTGGCCAGCCCCAGCCGCACCAGCTGCTTCACCACCTGCCTCCGCGTCCGCCCGGGTGCTGGGAGATGGGCCAGGATGACGGCAATGACGTCCTCACCTGCGGGAGCAGGTGGCTGCAGGGATGGAGCCCCCGCCGCCCCCCGGCGGTCCCACTGCCCCCCACCCCGGGGAGCCTGGGTACCTTCCACCTCCTTGTACTTCCAGTACAGCTCCCGCAGCTCCTGCTCCTCCTGGGGGGTCCAGGGGGGGACCCGGCTCCTGCCAGCCCTGGGCAGAGGGGAAGGGAGGTGAGGGGAGGGGATGGGAGGGCGGCAGCCCCCTCCCCGGCTCCACTCACCCCTCTCCCTCCCGCAGGGAGCTGTAGCCCTCGGTCATCTCACGGACGGCCGCTGGGCTCTTCCAGAAGAGCAGCTCCACGAAGGCCTTCTTGTTGGTGGCTGCTAGCGCGAAGAACTTGCCCAGGATGAACTTGGCCAACGCCACCAGCTCCTGCGGGCAGAGGGCGGGAGAGCGGGGCTGGGAGACGCCGGGGGGGACCCCTCCTTGGGGGCGCGGGGGGCTCAGGGGCAGCCGGGCCGGGCGCAGGGGCAGCCGGGCCCTGGCTGACCTGGTGCGCGCCGGCGGCGGGATCGCTGAGGAGGCGGTGGAAGAGGGCGAAGAGGGAGAGCTGGAAGAGCAGGGCCTCCATGTGCAGGTCACGGGCCAGGCGGTGCAGCAGGCGGGCGGCGCAGTGGTTGGTGCGGGGGCTGTTGCGGGCATACCCCCGCAGCAGCAGCACGAGCGCCCGGACCACGGGGGCGCAGGCGAACCTGCCCCGGCAGCCCCGGTGAGCAGGGCTGCCCCGGCTAGTGGTGCCGCCCTGGACCCCGTGCCCTCCTGTTCCCTCTCACCGTTTCAGGTAGTCAAGGAAGTTGAACTCCTTCTCTGAGACCTGCACAGTCTCTTCCTCCTCTTCCTCATCCTCCTCTTCCTCTTCTTCCGGCTCCTTGGCCTCGGGGGGTGCGTGCCCTGCGGTGGGACGGTGGTGAGGGCCCGGAGCACCCCGGCCCAGAGCCCGCCGCTCCCGGTGACGCCAGCTGGGGACTCACGGGGCAGGGGAGCGAAGAGGATCTCCCGCAGCAGCTGGGTCTCCTCGGGCGGCTCCGCGTCAAGGGGTCCGAACACGTCCCCTTCGGGCCAGACGTCCCTGGGGAGAGGGGCACGGGCTGGCACCGCGTCCCCACACTCCTGCACGGGTGCAGGATGGGAATTGCGGTGCCGGTACCTGGCAGACCGGAGCAACCGCAGGGCCTGGGGAGCCTGGGCGTCCCACAGGCACCCCTGGATCCGCAGCAGAGCTTCCGCGCGCTGCTCCTCCACCGGCGTCTCCGAGGCGGCGTCGAAGGGCACCACGTCCTCCGGGAGGGGCGCCTCACCCTGGGACACGACACTGTCACCCCACGCCCCGCCAAGACACCCAGTGCCCCCCGTGGGGCCGGATCCTTCCCCCTACCTGCAGGCAGGCCTGCAGCTGCGGGGCCAATCCTGCCCAGAGCTCCTCCAGCTCCGTGGTGCTGGGCGGCTGTGGGGCGAGGGATGCAGGCACTTGTGGCTTCTTCCTCCTCCGTACACGCTTGCTCTGGGGGGTGAAGACGGGGTCAGGAAGGGCAGCCTGGTCCCCCAGGGAACCCCCCAGCAGGGCAGCCACATCCCACCTGCACCACGAGGCTGGTGCGGCCCCGGCAGAAGCGCTCCAGCATGCGGAGGAAGAGGTGGGCCGTCTCCACCAGGTCCCGCAAGAAGCTGCGCGGCTGCTTGGTCTCGTCGAACTTGCGGAAGAGGGCGAGGAAGAGCTCCCGGTACTCCATCAGGTAGAAGATGTTGCCTGGGGAGGAGGGCGTCAGCCGAGGAGGATGTCAGACCTCCCCCCGCCAGGTACGGGCAGAGGGACAGACGGACTTACTCTTGATGACCTGGCTGCTGTCCCGCACTGCCTGCTCGGGGGACCGGTCCATCTCCTGCACTGTCCGCAGCAGCTCCTGGTACGCCTTCAGGGCCAGGTGCATCCTGGGGACAGGCAGCGTCAGGGCAGAGCCCCGCACCCGGGGGGGTCCCAGGCACCGGGGGGGTCCCAGGCACCGGGGGGGTCCCAGCCCCCACCTGCGGGCCCAGGTCGCCGCCTCCTTCTTGTCCATCAGCGCCATCTCGTAGTAGGTGGTGAGGTTCTGCTCGATGAAGTGGAAGGCGCGGACGCCCACCGTCTCTGACACCAGCTCGGGGCGGAAGCCCTGGCGGCGGTTGAAGGCCATGAAGAAGGCGGTGGCCCACAGGTAGTAGGTCTCGTCGTGCTGCTGAGCCTTCTCCCGCACCAGCTGGTCCTGGGGGCGGCAGGGGGGCTCAGCAGGGCTCCTGCAGCCCAGGGAGGGGGCTGCAGCCCGCCGGCCCCGCACCTTGACCAGCAGCATCAGGCGGTTGTAGCAGCCCTCCAGGAAGTCCTGGCAGAAGCGGCGCAGGAAGAGCCGGACGTTGCGGGCAGAGCGGCGGGGGGGCTCGGTTTCGGGGGCAGC